AAGCTGGAAAATTAAAAGTTAGAAAACTTCGTGCGTATTTTCCCTGAACGACATTTCAACATTTTCTCATTACATATCCGAAGAATAATAATTAATAAATTAGGTTTGCAAAGAACAACGTTTTCAAAAGACTCCTATCCAGGTTTTTAATTAAAACTTTTTAATGTCTGTAATGAACAGAGGAAAGAAATACAAAACCGAAATTGGAAAATGCATTGGGATAGCAAAAGATGCTTTCCAAATGCTAAGCAAAGAAACGAGAGCAATTAATTAGAAACAGAGAAAAGATAGCTGAACCTCCTATGTGGCAGTGAATGTTGGACAATTTCCTCACAGATGAAAAGAAGACTTGAAGCAGTAGAAATGTGGTTCTACAGAAGGATACTGAGAATACCCTAGACGGAGCGCATAATCAACGAGAAAGTCTTAAAGAAAATCGTAACAAAAACGATACATATTCAGAATCAGAAAAAGATAACTGAAAATTTCCTTGACGCATAATGTAGAAAGATGATTTGGAGAATTTGACATAGACGCAAGGCATACAGAATGCAAAAGATTAGGGAGAAGCAGCGGGCCACACCTACCTGAATGGGTGGCGAAGTAGAGGAGGGGGTGGATGGCAAAAAGACGAATGTTACGAAAGGCTCAAAGCGATAAGAAATTGTGGAGTGTGATGATCGGCCACATCCTGATAGGTAGCAACTGAAAAAGGATTATAGGTTTTTTGCATGCTCTGCTTATAACGGATTTTCTCCTCCTATCATCAATTAAAGAGGTTAATTAGGATGTTACCATTCATTACTTTAAATAGCGTTTTATGACAACTACAGACGTTCGTTCAGTTTAGCCACTGTATTCAATTTCTTAAAGTACAATAGGTCAACAACGACTTCTTTGATAGGTTTATCTATTCATTTGTGAACTTTAAGTCGAGCCATTCACCTTTGATTCATATGAACGCACGCATAGATTCGTATTTCATTATAAAGAACAATCAAGGAATTGCAGATTTATTTTCTTGTAAGTCTTTTCTGACCCCTTTGTAGCCGCCTATGTTAAATTATGTGAATATTCAAGAGCCTAAGGAAAAGATTTTGCAGAAGGCTATGCGACAGCCAGACCTGTTCCAATATGTACAATGGAGCCTAACATGAAATTTATTACCAATCACAAAACAAATCGTTCCGTAGACACACGGAAATACCCATACATTCGTCAGAAATCTCTGGGCCTCTCTCTCTCTCTCTCTCTATCTATCTATCTATCTATCTATCTATCTATATATATATATATATATATATATATATATATATATATAATTATTTTTATAAAAAAAAAATTATAACATAAATATGTTATAAAATCACTACAAAAATAGCCATTTTGTTTCAACACCCTCAGTGTCTTATCAAGTGATGATGTTGAATATAAAATAAAACCTTTATTTTATATTTTATTTTATATTCAACATCATCTTGATAAGACCTGAAGGGTGTTAAATAACTGTTTTTGTAGTGATTTTATAACATATTTTTATTATAATTTTTTTTTTTTATATAAAAGATAATTATATCTGCTCTACTTTGCATTGAGCACTCTTTTAAGAATAGTAATTGTTGATTATTGGAATTCATTCCGTATACACCAATTATATACTTGTGTACACACACACACACACACATTGTTTCTCTTGGAACTTTCTTGGGATATTCTAGCCCTCTTGGCAACTCCGACTACGCGGTAGTGTCTAGATATTTCTTTATGCTTGTTTATTCACAGCAAATTATTTATTAGCAACGCTCTGATTGGGACTCATTCCATGATTTTCATCTCGACGCCCCTAAGAATGATATTTTATTCTTCCTGTTGAGAGTTATGCCACTGATGTCTCTTCCTGGGTCAAAGCCGACATCGAAGCCTTTATGCCAACACGGAAATACCAAGTAAAAACCCAATCTTCTCCTTTGTTTACTCCTGCCTGTTTAGCCGCTATAAGTTCATTGGAATCATTTCTTCCAGTTATACCAACGCAATAGTTCCGATCTTAAAAGATGCTTCTTTGTATCCGCTTTTAATGAGTGTAAGCGTGTCCTCAACGAAGCAAAGTCATTATTTGCTGATAGAATGACATAGTATAGTCTATCACAAGTTTGGTTTAGTGTGCTGAACAAGAGCAAATCCTCAGTCGTTCCTCATTTCAATCAGTTTGACGTTATGTCATCTACTGAAGATAAAGTAGAAAGTATTAAATAATACTGTCATATCTGGTCCGGTGCTCCGGCTATATATCCCAAGAATCTTGGCAAAATCCAAAGAAGGGTCTCTAAAGTAATCGATCCTAACCTGGCATTTCGATTTGAGTCAATTTCCTCCATCTCTCTGTGATACAGATTTCTTCTGTCTTTTCTATAAATATTTTCATAGCAACTGTTCTGATGAACTTTTTTATTTAGTGACTTGACTTCATGAATTGAAGCGTACTACTAGATTGGCAATTAGGTCTCATGGTTTTACTATTGAAATATTTAGATGTAACCGTAAGTTTTATTTTAATAGTTTCTTTTCTCGTACTTCTCTCCTGTGGAATGCAGAATGCGTATATGCAGAACTTTTGGACAGTTTTAACAGACTTTGTATCTAGAAAAGAAAACAGTTTGACGAACAGCAGAAAAATTAAATAAAAATCTTAATCCCAGTTCCTTGTCCTTCGTCTTTAACGAAACTTGTATAAAAGAGGGACTTCTACCCAAATACACAACATATGTATATGATATATATTCCGTGCTCAGCAACTCGCGACGGGGAAACAATTCAAATACCTTGGTACAGCCATCAGACAAGGTGTCAGAATTCAATGCGAGAACTGCATTGACAACAGCCACGATAGAACGGTTGAAATCGATCTGGAAAGACAAAAAGCTCGTGCTCATAAATAAATTAAGATTGTTGCACACCCTCATCTTGTCGGTACTCCTGTATCCATGTGAGTCATGGGCTCTAACAGGAAGAATCCAAAGGCGGATCTAAGCTAAAGTGATTAGATACTTCAGATGTCTGCTTGGTATTTCTTACACCAACCGCATCATAAAAGAAAAGCTTCTCAGAAAAGTGAATCATCAGATACATGGCTATAAAGATGTGACGATTATCACAAAGAAGTGGAATCGGAAGTGGTATAACCACGTAAGCTGTTCGCGAGGCTTCCCCAAGACCATTCTACAAGAAATGGTACAAGGAAGAAGGAGAAAGGTATGTCTAAGAAATAGATGGTAGGAGAATTTCGTCAAACAGACCGATAATAGTTCTGACCAGTCCCAGTCGCTGGCTAATGACCGGATTAAGTAGAAGCTTTTTGTTGACTAAGCCACCATGCGGGCACCCTTTGACAGGTTATTGGAGAAGATTTAGAAATATTGATTTCAAAGGCCATGTGTAATATTTTTTTTTAAGCATTACGCCCCGAGCAAGGCGTGAAGCCACTAGGATGCAGGAGGTTGCAGAAGATTTGGAGCAAGAGCAGATAGGAGTGATAGAAGAAAGGCTGAGGAAAGGGATAGTGGATAGATCAAGGTAACTGGAGGTGTCGACTGACATTAAATTTGAATAGTTGGAGATTATAGCTCTCAGGGAAACTGGAATAGGTAAGGGAGTTCCACAGGCGAGAGGTGCGAGGTATGAAGCTATTGGAGTAGAAGAGACGGCTACATAGAAATATGAAGAAGCCAAATTTTTCTTTATATAGCTTGTTTGTTTGTTTGTTTGTTTGTTTGTTAAACGGTATATCAACTCCTTCATGGGTCATTTAATGTCGAAATTTAATTTCTTGGGAGCATTAGAATTTCTTTTACAAAAAAGTATTGCTGCTAATATTTTGGTTTATTTACAAATATCAATTGCTAGTGATTTTTTTTTTTAATTTGATTTTACAAAAATTTATTGTTGGTATTTTTTTTTTAATATGAAAATATTTGGCTGATATTTTTCCTATAAAAAGTGTATTTTTCTACATTCATAATGTTTTGACCCCAATGTTGGGGGTTAACTATTTGCCCATAGCTGGGACCCTAACAGGTGCTAACCTCCCGAGTCATGGCGGATCTGAGAACAATAGTAATTAAGAGGGGGTTCCACGTTCCTCAAAAAGTCCCGATCAAATGCCTTGCTACCGGATGTAGTTTATCGTCATGCCCAGGACGATTCTTCTATAGCGAGTTCTTACGTTTTTGTTTTTTTTGTTTTTGTTTTTTTTTTTTTCGGAATTTTGCACATTCGGCGGATAAATAGATCGATAAATATCAAAATATAAGCACATTAAAAGAGGTGGTTATAGACATGGATAAATAGTCAGTCAATTCGTCCTGCTTTTGATAACCAACCATCCAAAACCTAACAGTACCTCCTAATCCGACTAACATATGTAAAGAATTCTATCTGCAAACAAATTATAAAGCGACACTGGAACGATTTGAATTTTTTTTATCCTCAAGCGCACGTATTGCCAGCTTCTGCCATGGCAGCTGCTGATTGAAAGCCTGCAAAAAAATTTATCACCGACATCCGTTTCGGCACGAGCTGCGTCTCCAACACGCGACCAACGCCAACGAATATCCGTCTTCGCCATCTGTTTAACATCTGTAACGCATTAATTGCTGCCAGATCCGTGTACGGGAAGACATTAAAAACAAGTATCACATCTAGATAAGAAAAAATAACTAAATAAATATCAATTTTTATTCTATTGACATTCTTTCTTAGTGTACTTTGTGGGGCACATTCGATTCAACCGTTGGCTCGAACATCTTATGAATAATAAAGTACACTGTCTGGTACTAAATTTGAGTCGGACACAAAATATTATTTTAAATCACTCGTAGTTGAGTCTTTATTTAGAAGCACATCTTCAAAATTCTTAATACAAAGTGTGAATGCTTCGAGTGCTAACAATGTGACTCTGTGTCAGGCTTCACTTTGTCCAAAATAAATTACATTTCTAATTAATGTATGTCGTAAACATATTTTTTCTTCACTCATGTTTGCCTACAATTACGAGGTAGCAAGGAAATCAGCACACCTGATTATATTATTAATAAATTTAAGGAAATAAAAAGTCACCTTTCAAACGTCAATAAAGACAGTGAAACTATTTGTTTTTTTTTTGTTTGTTTTTTTTTTTTATTTTAGTTATTTTTTTTTCAAATGATGATTATAGTTACCTTTTAAGATCAGTTTCATTTCAAATTGTTTCGAAATATGTTGTGGATTCCGAGATGAAATCCGTTCTCAAATGAATGACAAATGCAGGAATGAAATATAGCAAATAAGTGTATTGACGTAATAATACAATTGGTAATACGGTTAGTAGATCGAGAAATGCGGTTAGTAGCAATAATAATATATATACAGTCTGGGAAATTCAGTATCGAAGTAGGACTTCCTTCTGAGTCTACGTACTCGCAACTGTGACTCCTACACAGCGGAAACCTCACCTCTCTCTCTCTCTCTCTCTCTCTCTCTCTCTCTCTCTCTCTCTCTCTCTCTCTCACTCACTCACTCACTCACTCACTCACTCTGTCTGACTCTCTTACACTGACTTCCGGGTATTCACCGGCAGCAGTACAAGTACACACTGGGCGAGTCCATTTGTATGAAAAAAGGGGTGGACCTCTTAACAAAATATTTGACACTGAATAAAGGCTTTCTTTCCAAGACTGAAGTTTTCAAGTCGCTGCTGAAAGAGCACTGACATGAACGAAAACCCTATGAATATTTGACACGTGGAAAAATGTTAACGTTTGTTGATATCACGAGACATATTGATCTTCTTCCAGACATAGGCATTAATTCCCTTACTTCAGGTGTTATAACTCGTAATTTCAATTCAATGTAATTTGTATCGTTTATTTGGCGGTTATTTTTTAATAGAATTGCGTCTCAACGATGTTCCTCTCTGGAAAATACTAGATTGGTGCAAAAGTTCCCAGTGCTAATTCTTTGATAAAGAATGGTTAAAAGTGTCTTTCAAAATTACTGTTTATTGCAGATGCGTGTAAGACTTGTTTGTGGAAAAGTAATAATTCTATTTCGTAGAAAATCATGGCTGAATATAAAATGACTTTCATCTCAAAGAATATGACTATGTTTTTTTAAGTTGAAAGCCAACACCGCTCATTAACTGTAGCAAGAATTGGTTGGTGAATAAAATTTTCATTTATGGCTAAATCGTTCAGTATAAAGTGGTTGTTTCATTGCAAAAAAGATTCAAAGAATTATGGCTTATCTTAAGACAAAGTCTCAGCTAACTGACTGAAACATGTAATACTTGTATTGAATATCATGTTTACGGTTACTGGAGATCTACTTTTCAAATATTTATGTAACAGTAAGAAAATACGATATTAAACCTGACTCTGTTTTCTCCGTTGAATCCACCACGAAAAATTCTAAAATCTTTGGCGTCTAGCAATGAACAAGCTTCTCCAGTAGAAAGTATATTATCTGAGAAATCTTTCTGCCAAACATTTGGCCTCGAACCTCGAGGGAAAGGGCTTTAATTTTAACTTATATTTTAATTGCAGACAAATTTTGAACAATTCATTTTTTTATGTTCAACGCAGCGTCTCACCTGTCTGTTTCATAAACTGAATGTTCGCCTTAATTTCATTTCTTTTACAGAGTAATTTTACCTTTAAGAAATCATAACAATATGTTTATCGATTCCCTCAGTTGAAAATAAAAGAATCCGTGATTAATAGCAATTTTACGCAAATATTAATGAAAAACGAAAATTTATTGCAGTAAAACTTAAATAAAAAGTAAGAGAAGGGCGTTACTGAAGTAAATAATATTTTAAAAAATCTGCTGAGATGGTACACATGCATAGTGAGATTTTTCGTTAATTTTTATTTGAATAAGTTTCCTTTAGAAACATTGAAAGGACTTTGATATTTTACTCACTACATCATACGCGTGTAACAGAAGTTAAAAGTAATGTGCGCCAGTTACTTATCAAAGTAAATATTCTGGCTGCAATGTGCTACAAAAAGAACCTTGTTTATACTTATTGATTAACTGACTTCGACAAATGTTTAAGCTTGACAATAGTTTGATTACCTCGTCCCTACCGACATTTCTATTTATAAATATCTACTTTCATTTAACCGACCTTCTAGGCACAGGCTGCTCGCTTTCATGGCTTTTCAAAAGACACGGAACAATTCTTTTACCAAAATAAAAAAAAAAAAAGTACAAAAGATAAAATCAATTTTACCATCTATTCTGATACAGAAACTCCCATTCATTTTAATCATTTTTGGAAATTATCGATTTATTCATATTGATAAATGATCCTTTGCAAGTCTTCGGGTAAAAGACCGTTGGTTTATCATATCTTGAAGGACTCAATGACCCTTGGGGCAGAAGCGCTTTTTACCAACCAAAACAATATAACATCATCGAAATACAGAAAGCATCCATTAGGCCAAAACAAGGAAAAATTGGATATTTTTAAAATATTTTTCCTGAAAGGGGAAAATTTCACAAAAAGATTTTATTTCGACGAATATATATATATATATATATATATATATATATATATATATATATATATATATATAACCACAGGGCAAAGCAGATATCATTTCTAAATGTTTTTCCTATTCTATCACTAAAATTTATTTGTTTTTTCTTAGTGTTTGATCTTGTGGCAGCCATTTCCTTTCTTTCTTTTTCGCTAATTTTCATTGTCTTCCGACCTATTTTCTTCTTTCCTTTTATTCTGTAACTCTAATATATTCCGTTCTCAACTCCTCCTCCTTTTTTTCATCTCTTTCTTTTCATTCATTGTTTTTCTTTTTCATCTCCATTATTTCCATATAGTCTTTGAAATTTCTTCCTCTTGCACATCTTTCCAAAATTCTTCATCGTCATATTTTAGTTCTCTCCGTTATGATCTTCTTTCGTTGTGTGCCTTTTTATTTGGTCTCTTCTCTTTCTATACAGATCACGGCATCTTCCATTTTCTTGTCTTTCATAGCGTCTCCGTTTACGTCTCTAGCAGTTCATTATCGTTAGTATGTTTTTTCTTTCTTCTTCCAATTATTTCTTACTTATTTCCTACTTTACAAATACTTATTTCTGTTACATCATTGTTTCTTATTTTTTCTTTTTTTTTTTTTTTACTTATTGCACGACTTTTTTTTCATACTTACTTGTTATCATTTCCAAAAGTTTTTTTCTCTTCCTTTTGTAATTTTATTGTGACTTTTTCATTTTCAAAACTAGGAACTCAACAAATGACTTTAAAGAAATAGTCTATTATTTTCGACATATTTATTTACATTCCAAGACATTTCTTTATATTCGAAATATTAGAATTTTTTACCTTTTATTTTACTTACAATATTTCGTTTCTATTCAAGTTGGTTATTCTTCTTTTTACTCAAAATTCTTCAAAGTTGATGTTTGTACCCCACTCCTTTTCAGAAATGTTCGTTTTGTCTCCAATTTATATTACAATGTTTGTCATCAACGTTTTTCATTTTTTTTTACCCTAAAATTCATTCATGTATTTTTTGTAATTATATTATTACAAACTTTGTTTGCAAAAGTATCTTATTTTATTCCCTACTTTTTTCAAATTCTTTTTGCGCAGATATGCTAATATATATGCTCTTGTTAAAACTGAGTTGGTATCAAAACAAATTCTGCAAATATACCCCCTACTCAATAACAAAAATGATATTAAAAATAAACAAATATGAAGCAGGCCAAAACGGTAGCAGGTCCTGTAAGAGGCGCGCAGTCAATCATGGCCTTCTAATCATCGACCTATTCAAAACAAGAAAAGAAAGTTAAAATCGAAAAAGTCAACAGAAATTATGAAAAACAAACTATAAAAGACAAAGCAAGGTAAAAAAATATATAATCTAAAAAAATAGCCCTTTCTGTTTTGTGCAGAATTGAAGAAGAAAAAAAAATACATGGGAAAGGGCAACTAGGGGTGGGTCGGTAACATTAGGAATATTTCATTCGGTTGAGTCGGCTTCTTTTCCCAGTCATAAGAGAAGCAAATGCCTCTAAGACATCTCTTCATTAAAAGAATTGAATATTGAACTGAATTAAAACGTCAATTATTATTTAATATGTATTCAAGTCAATGGGCCATACTGGTTGAAGTTGCTCTTCCCTCTCTTTATGTTTATCTGTGTTTCTATATCCATTCCCATTTCTTTCCTTCTCTCTATTTCTCTCTCTTCCTTTTTTTCTCTACAGTCTTTCTCTTTATCTCTCTCTTTCTTTTTTCTCTACAGTCTTTCTCTTTATCTCTCTCTTTCTTTTTTCTCTACAGTCTTTCTCTTTATCTCTCTCTTTCTTTTTTCTCTACAGTCTTTCTCTTTATCTCTCTCTTTCTTTTTTCTCTACAGTCTTTCTCTTTATCTCTCTCTTTCTTTTTTCTCTACAGTCTTTCTCTTTATCTCTCTCTTCCTTTTTTCTCTACAGTCTTTCTCTATTTCTCTCACTTCCTTTTTTTCTCTACAGTCTTTCTCTTTATCTCTCTCTTTATTCTTTGCATGCTTTTCTCTCGATCTCTTACTCATTCTTCTCTTTTTGCTATCTCTATTCTCGTTTCTCTTTCTTCCCCTTTTGCTTACACACTCACACACACACACATATATATATATATATATATATAAATATATCTCTCTCTCTCACTCTCTCTCTCTCTCTCTCTCTCTCTCTCTCTCTCTATGAGTCTTCTTTTTGTTCCTCTTTTTACTTCTCATATTACTTCTGCACTCTTCAGATCATTACATTGTTCATCCATCTCACAATCTTCTATTTATTTTATTACCTTTTCCTTCCTAATCTCTCTTTGTTTGTCTCTCTCTCTCTCTCTCTCTCTCTCTCTCTCTCTCTCTCTCTTTCATTCCTCCTTTCCAATTTCCATGTTTGTTAACTTTTTTCAATTTTGCCAGTTCACCAAATCCACGAGAAATCCTTCTCTCTATCCACGCTTCTACTTCTCTTTCTCCCGATCTCTCTCATTGTCTTTCTTTCTCAAATTAATACATTTCTAACTCTATCTTTCTCCAACTTTCTTTCACATTTTATCACTATCTTCTATTTTCTGTTTTTCTCTTTTATTTTTGTCTCTCCTACTTTCTTCTTCATTTGATCTCTCTTCTTTATCTATCACTGTCCTCTTTCAGTTCCCTCTCAATATCTCTCTCATTAAAAATTTATTTTCTTATGGTCTATCTATGTTCCATTCAACTTTTCTACGAACGCCACTTTACTTCTTGTACATACATACATGCATGCATACATACACTCTACTGATTTAACTGCTTTTTTTTTGCTTTTTTTTTTTTTGTTTTTCCAAAACTGAAGTGACGACTACAACCCGCTTTCCATGTTTGTTTCTCTATTTTTTTGTGGAGGTTGGCAGATGTTATTCCGATGCGATAGAAAATAATTGTTCTGTAGTTGTTATTATATTGTCATATTGAAATCTCCATTGTTTTCTTTCCTCCTATTTTTCTGGAACTTTTTGAAGTGCCTTTGTTTGCAAAATATAAACCTAACATGGATGCTGTGTCCAATTCGAAAAAGTCGTTCAAGAAACGTAATGTTGGTGTACTTCAGCCAGTTAAATTGAACATCATAAGGTTTAGAATTCTCGATCCTAATCTTATTTATGAAAAAATAAGCAGAAAACAAATAGACCATACAGAAGGTACATATTATGTGTGTAGTGGGAAAGGGGGGTGAGAAATATATATATATATATATAATGATACTTAGTAGTTAGTTTTACTCGAGACTAAATGTTCTATCCTTAGACATAAACTTTAAAGATTAAAACATTCAGGATTAAAAAAAAAAAAGGTCGATTAAGCAAAATGTTCAGGTAGCAGAAAGCTTATCGGTGTTGTGATAAATGGAAGCTGAGTTCAATTTCGATTCAATCTGCTACGTTCACTTCGTACTAATACCGTTGGGAAAGTCGTGAATCCATTTCGTCTCCTTCCGAAAGGTTAAATAGCAGGGTAGATTGAACTCTCTCGGCTTGCTAGAAGGAGATGAAAACATTTGTAGAATTCAAACGGAAAACAATTCGACTATTTCTATAAGACAATTCGCAGATAATAAAACGAATCGGTGGAAACCCATGTCCGGCTACGACTTGACTGGAGATGACATTTAAAATTTATCATCGGTAAGTGTTCTTTACGATACGTATTTTCCAACTTCCGTCAAAATATTTTGCTATGTTTAAAAAGTTGGTAATTGTTAATAATAATAATAATAATTATAATTATAATTATAATAATACAATACACACTGACAGAACAATCAAAGCCAACCGCCCAGATATTGTTATTAAAGACCACAAACAAAAACGGTGCCTCCTTATTGATATGGCAGTCCCTGCTGACTGCAATGTATCTTTGAAGATATTCAAAAAGCTGTCAAAATACAAGGACCTTGAAATAGAAATCTCGAAAATGTAGCATATGGGAACATCAACAATCCCTGTTGTAGTTGGAGCCCTAGGACTGGTTGGAAAAGATTGCAGTAGACTAATTGAAGGGATTCCTGGAAGTCCATGCCTCAAGGAGATACAAAAAATTGTTCTGACAACTACAGCCCACACTTTACGAAGGGCTTTATCTATGTAATTTATTTTTTTTTTTTTTTTGTCAGTGGAGAGTGTCATGATGCCATTTCTAACCTTAGGTCCCTGGGCAGGACCCGGAAAGAAATGTGTAAACACCAGAAATCAAAGAAAATAATAATAAAATAATAATAATAATAATAATAATAATAATAATAATAATAATAAATTGACCATCTTGTATCAGGTTACATAATGTTACACACACTGAATATAAAACTCGGCATAATAGAGCGGGCATCTGCACTTGAAAATATGCAACTTTTACGGGAAGAGAACTGCAAGAAACTGGTATGAACATCCCGCAGACCCGATTACAGATTACCAGTCTCATGAAACTTAAGAACTACAATACACACAGAGAGAATAATCAAAACTAATCGCCCATGCATCGGAATTAAAGACTACAAGAACAGAATGTGCTTTTCTTATTGACCTGTCAGTCCCAACAGATTGTAATGTATTTGTGTGAATCTTCAAAAAAACTATCAAAATACAAGGATGTTGAAGTGAAAATTTCAAAAATATGGCACATGAGGACATCCATAATTGCAGTTGTAGTTGGAGAGCTACGATTGGTTGGAAAAGGATTCGATAGAATCATTGAAGGGATTGCTGGTAACGCATACATTAAAGAAATAAAATAAATTGTACTGACAATTAAAGCTCACACATTTCAAAGAGCTTTATCTAAATAAAATGCGTGTGATCTTAGGTGTTTATTTTTTGGTTTTTACAATTTTTTTTTTTTTTTTTTTTTCAAGCGTTTCACCCCAAACAAGGCGGGAAGACACTAGGACGCAAGCGGTTACAGAAGATTTGGAGCAAGATCAGATAGGAGTGATAGAGGAAAGGATGAAGAGAAGGATAGTGGGTAGATCAAGGCAACTGGAGATGTCGATTGACATTACATTTGAATAGTTGAAGATTATAGCTCTCAGGGAAACTGGAATAGGGAAGGGAGTTCCACAGGTGAGAGGTGCGAGACATGAAGCTCTTAGAGTAGAAGAGACGGCTACATTTAGGAGTTTCGACAGTGAAAGGGTGAGAGCGGGATGCCAGCCTCGTAGGTCGCTTGAATTCATGAAGTCAGGGAATCAGCGAATGCGGCTCCTCGGAGCAGTTACCATGAAAGTATTTGTAAAAAAGACAGAGAGAGGCGACGGCGCGTCAGTGGAAAATATCTTGAAGACATTTCTGACTGTAGGTCTCCGTTTGGAATCGGGAAGGAAAAGGAAATTTGACACAGACAACCAAAATAATAATAATAATAATAATAATAATAATAATAATAATAATAATAATAAAAGGATTCAGAGATACAGAGTACCCGACCGAAGTTGGAAAATTAGATCTGGGTAATTGTTGAATTTTCTTTTGTGTGTAGATGGGAAATGTTTTAAAACAATAATCCATGGATCCCATCATTGTCTAGCATTTTCCAATTAGCAGTTTTCCTTAAAATTATCAAATAAAAATTATCTAATATCGTCTACGTGAAGAGAGGAACCGTCAGTCATATAAGTAGATGGAAAATGAAAATGAATTCACAGGGAATTATGCAATTGGGATTTGAGCATGCAAACCAACGGTATGAACACAAACGAAAATATGTTTTAGAAAAAAGTAAAATGCTAAAAGAAATATTGAAATTCGAAGAAATCGTCCAATCCAGAAAATCATATTTCGTATTTGTTAACAAGATGAAAATTTGTCAAATAATGAATGCTGTAGTTCCAGAAGACGACAGGGGAAAAAGGAAAACTAGAAAAAATATTTTTCTTGACGGAAAACTGAAAAAATGTGTAATAAAAATGTAAATAACAGTTTCGATGAATCTTTAAAGAAGATTAAATGCGCGTTGAAATTGCGTAAAAGAATTCGAGCCATCCAAACTAGAGCAGAACAAAAACTAAATTTAAGACTGAGGTGAAAGATTTTAGTTTATGACCAGTGAAAATCATTCGATATTATTAATGCCAAACTTCTATACACAAGGTTCTGCACTCTGGCAGACTCTATGCAAAAAGAAAGGAAAGCGGAAAAAGATTCAATAGCTTCAAGGTCAGTGTACCAATAAACAAATCAAGATTTTAAAAAAACGCACAACAATATCATGAAACACTGAAAGACAGTGACCTTGAGCAAGTAAACATTTCGCCATTTAGAATTCAAGATGAAATTCACAGTATCCCAGCTGAGATGTTGCAGCAGTCAATAAGGAATCTCAACAGCAGATTTCAAGAATGCATTCGTACAGGAGGACGCCATCTACAGGACGTAATTTTAAAAAAATGAAAATTCCATCATTGTTTCTTAAATGGCATGTTTTAAGGTTTCAATTACTATGAATAAAATATTTTTCTTTCATCACTCTTGGTTTTATTGGATTGTTAAAAAGTTCCCGTGCTTTTGGGGTCACCCTGTACAAAGGCAGGTTCAATAGTCATACATTGAGAATGACGGAAATGACACGGATTCGGACATGGAAACAAATCCTATGAATACAAATTAGATGAAGGGCAAAAAAATAAGATACTTTAAGGCCTTAATATTCTGATCAACCTCAACAACACCACTCGCTTTCGTATGAATTTATGGCAATTCACAGATAATAAAGTAATCTGTGAAGAGTCATGATTGATTATTTCATGAACAGCAAAAATATCTTAAATAAAAAAAAATTAGCAATCATACGGCCAAATGATTTTGGTATTGAACGCCAATTTGAAAGAATAGTAATCTTTGAAGAGGCTGGACTTGGGTGCGTCATGTTCTCAAATAATTAACTGAGAACATTCAATTGAATATCATGCTATAAGATTGTCTTGTTTATACAAAGATAAAATAAGAGGATAAGATGTTCTTATCTCCCGGAATGGAATATTTGACAATGATAGCGGCAAAAATATCTTATTATTCCAATATAAGTGACGATTGGCAATGGAAATTCAGGGAGATAAATAGTAGCACAGTCGTCGTCCCTCACACTTGTGCCGTTTCACTTTGGTGTAGCGTTTTTCGACACGGAAAATTAAATCAGCGTGCCGAGTTCAAATTCCAACCAATATTGTTGCGTTCACTTTCGCACCTATACTCTTGGGAAATGTATGAATGCCGCTCTTCTCCTCCTCCAGTATTGTGTTAAGTAGCAGAGTAAGCTGAGTTACCTAGCCTTAGTTGTTAGCCATACTAGGAGAAGAATAACTATGAATTCAAAACTGGTTGAGCGTAAGTCTTGTAACGCCACCCCATAAAAATATACTTGCTACAAAAACCACAGCAGTAACTCCTAGCGTTGTGAAGCTGTGTCGCGAGCGTGGTGATGCTGTGGCCCTATACTCCACAGGGCAGTCTAATAACACTAAGGAGGCAGGATTCTGAAAACAAAAATCATTACGTGATGCTCAATGCTCTTGTCTTCAACTCTAACGTTTATAGCAGAATAGTCCTTCGATATACCAGAGAACCTTCCAAATCTTTTTCTCTTTGTGTCT